TCCGTAGGGATTATAATTATTTTTCTACTTATATTTTTCAAGTTAATTTATCAAATAAAAGGTGTTTATTTTTATATCCAAATTAACGAAGTTAGAAACATCTTAAAATCAGTTATTAAGAAATTTATCCCAGCAAGATATAATTTTAATTATTATCTACTATAATTCATTCAATTCATTATTAAAATAAATAAATAAACGAGTATGTATGTGCATAAATACCTGAAACTCGGTGACATCTGAAACGCAAATCTTGCCGTCATAGAAAACAGTGAAGGGATGATATTGGTGTGGTCGCTGAGGCTCCTGTTGTTGTGGGCTCTCACTCGCTTCTGCTTCCATTCTTCATTAAAAGAAGCAAAGAAAAAAAGTAAGAAGTAGAAGCTTATGCAGATACAAGGGGCGAAATTAAAAAAAGAAGAGAGAGAAAATATGCGTACAAGGGGCGAAGATGGGAGATGGAGGGAGGGAAAAGGCAAAGTTCCAAGTTGCAAGTGTTCCTCATGTTGTGTGAGGGAGAGGGAGAGAAAGAGAGAGTAAAAATGAATAAATGGAGAATGGGAGGTGTAGTGTATACAATATAATATATAAATACATGAGTGAAGAATGTGTGAGGTTTAGGCAGAGAAAGTAAAAGCATGGTAGAGGGAGTAATTTAATTTCAGCACATGTTTCACGCTTTATAATAATTGGCACACGTGGCGACGGCGTGATGAGTTTAGATAAGTGACGAGTGTCGATGCCGCTGCGCTGCGGTGGGTAACACTAACACCCGAGACCAACGTCATACCACCGCTTCTAGTTACACGTGCTTTGCGCCAAACTATTAATTAAATCTTTTTTATTCTAAGTTATAAATAATTCACATTTTTTGTGTTTTTTTTTAACTTTTAAAACTATAATAATTTTTTAGGATAAAGACTGAAGATTCGAAATCAAAAACAGAATTAAACAAACACTTTCAAATTAATATTAGTTTAATGGGTTCTGACTTCTGATGAATTATATACTCTCTCTATTTCAAAATTCCGGTTCTTTTATGATTTCTATATATTTTATGTAATTTTTAGTTATAAATAATATTATTATTATTTTTAAGTTAATAAATAATAATGAGAGTAATTTAGTTTAAATGTATATAAATTAAATGTTTTTAATTTGGGTATAAATAGTTAAAATAAAAACTAAAGTTTTTGAAATGAAAAAAATATAAGTTTCTTGATATGTATTTACAGAGATTAAAATTATTATTTTTATTTAAAAGGATTAGAATATATTTAACTCCTTCAAAAAATAAACGACATTGAATTAATTTATATGTATAAAATAATGTTTTTAAAATAAATTTAGAATTTAATTTTACTAAATAATGATATCAAATTAATTTTAAAATAAAAAAATGTCAGAAGTCACGCTTCCAGGATCGAATTTACTTACTTTTAAAGCCAATTTCTTTTTATTTTTTGACTTAAATACATATTTTTTATCTTTTAAATATTAGTTTGTGATTTTAATTTTTAATTTTTAATTGAGTAATTTTAGTCATTTAAATATTACATGATTTTAATCATACAAATACTTTTATTATATATAATTTAAAAGATTAAAATTATATAATTATAATACTCAAAAAGATAAAATTTATTCAATTAAATTTGAAAACTAAAATCAAATAATTCCTGTATATAAAAAAAAAAACTATTGCTCAGTTAAAACGTTAAAAATCAAAATATCCGATTATAAAAAAATGAGAACGTAATTAAACCTTTATTCCTTAAATCGAATTTTGTACTAAAAAATTGTTTTGCTGGATGATAAAAAAAACTAAACACAAATTATCAATGTCAAAATTAATTTTTAACTGACAAATGTAGGAATAGCAGTAGGCCAAGACAGACACGAATATTAAATAGTCCCATCACCTTTCATGTTGGGTATTTAAAAATCTGCTTCATCTTTGTTTCATGTCTACTTAGAGCATCTACAATTCCCAACCACTTTAAATGGGTCCCATTGTGCCACGTCACTCATAAGCAACTCATACTACATTTTTATAATTTTTGCTCCAATGGGAATTACTTATAAGCACTCTTACTTTTTACAACTCATACTACACTTTAACAAAGTGGAAGTCTTAAAGAGACACCTAGAGCCTCAATAAGACCACTTTCACAAGAATAAAAGGCCAAGTTTACACAAAAATTTCAACAATAAAAAAGGATACTATTCTTGAACTTTTCTTTCAAGTGTTTGCTCTCAAAATATTTGGTGTAGCTCTTTAAGTCTCCAATTGTCAATCAATGAGTTGTTTCTCCTAGAACTAAAACACTTCAAGAAAAGGCTAGCACACAAAAAGATAAAATTAGAATGGATCTAGAAAGGATGAAGAAAACTAAAACAAAGGATAAAGGAATCAAAAACTATGATTACAAGTTGTTAGATCCAAGTGTTTAGTGATTTATCAAACATGTTTTGAATTTTCTTCTTCTCTGAACTAGCTCACTCTTTATGCATCCTCCTAACCATAGCTCTAGTCGTGGGTTCCTTAGCTAGGCTTTTGCCATCACAGATGCACATACATAAACAGACTCCCAGACACCTACAAATAAACATACATAGAGAAACACACACATACACAAATAAACACACATACATTAAAACACAGACACGCACATAAAGAGACACTCAACACACTCAAACACACACACATAAAGACACAAAGGCAAACATAATCTCATAGACACGTACAAACACACACAGACACACATTGACACACACAAATACAGACAAACACATTCACTAACACACAGACACAAACATATACACACAGACAAATACAAAGACACAAACCCAAACATGAATCATCACGCACATACATAGACACACATACACACAAACACACACAAACACATGCACATAGATATATACACAAACACACACAAACGTGCACAAAAAGGTAAATAAACACACACAAATAGACAAAAAGACATACACACACAAAAAGGCACATAGACAAATATAGTTTGACACACGCTCACTCATATACAAACAAACACATTAACACAAAAAGAAACACACACACAAACACTAACACAAAGACACACACACACACATAGACAAAGGCACAAACAACACACATAGATATACAAAAACTTACAAAGACACACAAACAACATTCACACAAACTCACAAACACATCTCACATACAAACACAAACACACACATAGACATGCAAATAACGCACACAAAACACAGAAAAACAAACAAACACATGCATGCACAAAAACATACACAAAGAGATGCACACAGACGGACATAGACACACAAAAAAACACACAGAAATAAACATACATAGACACAAAGACACACACATAGAGACAGCCACACACACACAAAGACACATACACACACACAAGCATAAAGACACACACGCATTGAGGCACACAAACAAACAAACACACCCAAACATACACACAGACAAACACATACAGACACACACAAACATAAACAAAGACATAGACACACACATACACACAAACAAACACAAACGCAGAGCAACACAAACAACAGACAAACAAACACATAGATAGATTCACATCCACACACACACAAAGACGAACATAGACATAGACACACAACTACACAACCACACAAAGACACACACATAGATACAAAGAAACACACAAACGCACAAACAAACACAACCACACAAAAACACACACACATAAACACAAACACCTAGACACACACACAGACATACATACACAAACGCATATCATCCAAACACATAAACAAAGAGACACACACACAAAGCATACTTTATTCTGCGTGGTGTTGTTTGTTGTGGAACGGCTAGGCGGGGCGTTACATTTAAAGTAAATTTCTTACATAATTTTAGAAACTTTTTCTCGGAATATTAACCATGTATGTATTTGTTACAATAATTCCGGAAAGAACTTTCTGCAATAGTAATTTTAGTATATTACCGAAAGTACTTTCCAAAATTATGAAAAATATTTTTTGGAGGTGTGTTTGTACATAATTATGGAAAGTACTTTCCGGAATACTAAAATTACTATTCCGGAATACTAAAATTAATATTCCAGAAAGAACTTTTCGCTGGAATAATTCCAGAAAGTACTTTGCTGGAGGTGCTCTTATAAATCCGTTAAAAGAATAAGACTTAAATATATTTAAATTATTTCGAATTAGTTTAATTTTTAGATTATTATTTTTAATTTTTTATTATTAAAATTACTTGACAAATTTTTTTTTCAATTTAGTATCTAATTTTAGTTTCTTCTGTTAAATGATGACGTGACAAATGAACTGCCACGTCATCACTGAATAGTGTCTGTCACGTCATCCAAGGGACTACCACGTGGACAATTTTCAGATTACTATCTTTAATTAGGTCGATTTTCAGATTACTACCTTCCATTAGGTCGATTTTTCAGATTACTACCTCCAATTAGGTCGATTTTCAGATTACTACCTATTAATTTATTATTTTTTGTTTTAAATACCTTACTAATTTTTTTTCTTTAATTTAGTACCTGATGTTGGTCCCTCTTTGTCAAGTGATGACGTGGCAGACGGTCTGCCACGTCATCACCCAATAGTGTTTGCCACGTCATCACCCAATAGTGTTTGCCACGTAATCACCATGTCCAAGTGACAGTCCCTTGGATGGCGTGGTAGACACTGTTGGGTGATGACATGACAGTCCGTTTGTCACGTCATCATTTAATAGAGGAAACTAACGTCAAGTACTAAATTAAAGAAAAAAAATTTGTCAGGTAATTTTAACAAAAAAAAATTTAAAAAGTAGTAATCTGAAAATCGAACTAATTTGAGGTAGTTTAAACATATTTAAGCCAAAAAATAATCATGAATTTGATAAATATTTGTGAATATTTGCAAAATATTTATGGATACTTGCTAAAATAAAACATTTAAAAATAATCTGCAATTATAATAATTAATTATACATTTAAAATATAATAATAATATTAACAATTACTTTCATGTGAATTTGATATAAAATTGTTAATTTTGTATTTAATTTTTATTTTAAAAAAATAACATTCATAGAAAAAATTATTTCTCAAGAATGATTTTTAGATTTTTCATAAAATTATTTTCATGGAAAGGTGGGAAACTATTTTTCCCAAAAAATTATTTCCATGAGAATGATTTTTTTATTTAATACAGTAAATTTTTTTATTATAGATAACACTTAAAATATTAAACAAAATATTTATGACCAATCAATTTTTTTTTTATGATTTTCAAATATAAAAGAAAAGTGTCGTGTATCAAACATCCCTTAGAAAAACACAGACTTTATTGAAAACTTTTTTCTTTGTATTAATCAAAACTAACTAAGGTTTAAAAGTCTTATATAAATAAAATTTGTAGGTTTAATTAGTTTGAGTTATATGATTTTGGGTCAACAAATGAATTAATGTAACATTCCAAAATTTTCTCAATAAATTAATGAAATATTTTAATTTAATTAATTGAGAGATATTTTGAAAATGAGAGTAATTAATAAAAAAGAATATCTTCTAAATTAATTATA